GTACAGAAGATACTTGTATCGTCTGCAAATAATAATATAATATAAAATATTATTATATACAAATATAATGTATTTTATAAGGTTTGATATTTTGACTATGTCATTTTATATACAAATTGAATAATTTGGGTCCCAAAACTGATCCCTGCGGAACTCCACAAGTTATGTTTAGTAATTTCTGATGATTTCTGATCATCTAATTCTACAAATAGTTTCCTTTCTCCAATGTAGCTCCTGAGCCAGTTTAATGCCACCCCTCTAACTCCATACCTTTCCAGTTTTTTTAATAACATGTCATGATTAATGGCATCAAAAGCTTTTTTGAGATCCAAAAATTCACCAATTGCAAATTTCTTTTTATCCATATTGTCTATAATTTCTTCTGTTAATGCCATCAGTGCTGCAGATGCATCCTTTGCTAAAAACGATCAACATTTAACTTCACTGAAGGAATTCTGTTGTTGTATTTTAGGCAATAAGTGTTTATTTTTAATTTTATTAAGGAATCTATTTGCATCTTTCAATGTATTTCTAAAACTGTATAAAAACTTAATGAAAAATCTGTCATTTTTTAAATCAGATAATCAGAATGATCAGTCACTAAAATAATCGTTAGCTGCAGCTCTAGAGACAATTTAAGGTTTTTAGTGAAAACAGATGAGCTGCAATCATTAAACAGTATGCAGTATGAGTTTTACTTGGTAATAATAATGTTTGTGTTTCCTCTCTTTGTACTTTACGTAGTATTTGACCTGTCAGATGACGGAGCGAGCCCACAGACTTCAGCTCAGACTAAAAGATGCGATGAAACACCGCAGAGCTGATCTGCTCATGTCAGGAGTTAGGAAGCTGGTGCATGCTGTGAGGAAGTCGTCAGTGGCTTAATGAAGCAATAATAAAACTGAGACTGTAGCACATGAGACGCTGAGAAGACTACTGGAGGTAAGAACTGAACCAAGAGTTAGGCATGGACACTCTTCTCACAMGTGATCGAGCTGAAAAAACTCGTCAAGCTTCTTGATCCTTGTGCCGTTGATCCAGAGCAGCTTCACGTGCAACCTTCTGATGACTACAGGTGCTGTGAAGCAGTTAGATCAAGAACGTTTTGCTGCCATCCTTAGCCCTGATTCTCCAGTTGGATGCTGCACCGCGGTGCAGCATCCAACTGGAGAATCAGGGCTAAGGATGGCAGCAAAACGTTGGATGCTGCACCTGCAGCCGCCTGCCTTTTGGATCCAACTGGTTCTTCAAACACCTGACATGACGCCACTGAGCAGGGCAGCACAGTCTTCAGCTCAGAACCCAGATAGTGCTCCACATGATGTCATCGTCACTCAGGATGTTGCAGACTCCACTCCTACAGCCGTCCAGAAGGTCTGCTTCCTTGCCTCCCGTGTGGAGGTTAGTGGTCCCGCCACAAACCAGCCTGATGAGACCGACAGCCGGTTAAACCAAACGAAGAAGTCAAACACAACAAAASTTGTCCCTGTTGCACTGGATCTTCTTAGTGCTCCTGCCTCACAAGCCTTTGTGGAGCACATCTCCTCTCTGTGTGGACCGTCGTCKTCTGGACTGAGAAACAGCGTGTTTTCCTCTAAATCAACAAGACGTGGTTGCACAAATCTCTTTGTTCCTGTTCTGATGCTAATTTACAATGCTGCGTTGTACAGTGTTTACTTCTACTACTAATAATAACAATAAAACACCTTTCAGGACATGGTACAATAGAAAAGAAAGAACTATACAATGATAGGGTAGCGCAGGAGAAACATAGAAATGAGTAGTACAGAACAGTCCTATAATAAAATACAATAATGTAGATAGATTGAACTAAACAATCATATATTGAAAATCAAAGTTAACAGTTGTAGGCTAATTTGAAAAGATATCTTCAGGCCAGACTTAAACAGAGAGAGGTAGTATTGCACATTAAACTTTGTTTTTGAGTTAATAATTTTAGTAAACGGCAATCAAACCCATGTAGTTCATTGGGTTTTTGAGTTTGTTTTTCTCAGATTGAGATTAAGTTTACATTAAATTGCAAAGTGCTATACTAGCTAATATTAAGTATATGTGTGTCAATAGTCAAAAGTCAATAAGACTATTTTCAGCAGCAGTGTTAGGTACAGTGGGGAAAATAAGTATTTAGTCAGTCACCAATTGTGCAAGTTCTCCCACTTAAAAAGATGAGAGAGGCCTGTAATTGACATCACAGGTAGACGAGAGACAAAATGTGAAAAAAAATTTGAGAAAATCATTTTGTCTGACTTTTAAAG